GTTAACCATGTATATGATTTCAGTGTTAATTAAGTTGTACGAAGTTATATTAACTATCGGGGGCTAGGCAGAGGGTCTAGCAGAACCGCTGATTAATGTCTGAGTATTACATGGGTAACTGTAGGGGGCTAAACAGACGTACTATTTAAAGCATATTAAATAGTATTAGCCACAAACCTCTGATTAAGGGTCAAACTGGCGAGTTTAAGCGACGTAGATTCCTAATGAACGAGTAAAATACAAAGTAAAGAGTTAACTAGAATAATCAAATGTCAGAATAATTAGAGACCGACAAACAACCAATTTGCCTTTCAACCTAAATTCAAGGTCATACTTAAATGGAGCCAGATTAGATACTAAAATGGAGTCAGACTTGAGTTAAACCTAAATTGAATAACTCTGCGCGCTGAAAAGACCGAACACGCAAGTGACCTTCATCCACCACTGGATACCTTCATTGGGCCAAGTGCATGGACCTTACAAGATCGACTCGATCCGAGCAGGGAACAGACTGCCTGCATCGTGGTCAAATCCCACACCATGTCCAGATAAGTGGTTCTCTGTATTGGAGAAAGCAGACTTTTCTTGGCGTTAAGTCTTAACACCAACTCTTTCATATGGGCGAGAACGACATCTCGATGCCGAACCGGCATCCGCTCTGATTGAGCTATTATCAAACAATCGTTGATGTGGTTGAGTATGTGGATGTCCTGGAGTCACATAGGAGCCAGAGCAGCATCCATGCACTTTGTAAAAGTGCGGGGTGAGAGTGCAAGGCCAAAAAGGAAGAACCCGGTATTGGTAAGCTTTGCCCCCAAGCAAACCTCCAAGCTTCCTGTGATGGGGAAGGATGGCAACCCTCCATCCTTCTTCGGAACGATGAAGTACCGGCTGTAGAACCAGGACTCTCTTACATGAGGAGGAACCACCTTGATAGCCTCCTTCCTCAAGAGAGTGTCTACTTCTTGTTCCATTACCAGAGCCTCCTTGGGGCCCACCAGAGTGGGAATGGCCCAGTGAAATGAGGCGAAGGAGAACCGAACTGGATTCTGAAGCCTCTCTCTACAGTGTGCAGGACTCACTGAGACACATTTGGCAGTAGTTTCCACGCGGCCCCTGCTGCCACCTCAAACTCCTTGGAGGAAGAGAGAGCACCGTGCTCCCTACTCGAGAATTCATCCCACGCGCTCACTGTATAGAGAGTGAGGGAGGAGAAAGGGGGGTCTCCAGTCCCTACTAAACAGTAAGTCATATGTACATATACTGTATATATATATATTAGTGGTGTCAAAATTAGCACGTTAAAGCAGGCGATACATTTTTTCAGTTTAATGCATTAAAAATATTTAACGCAATTAACACAGGGGCGGGGCTAGGGTTGGCCACCCCACTCACATCTGCTGCTTCTGTCACTTTTTCTCTTGACAAGAACTTCAAGAAGTGCATTTATTCAGTCACAGAACGTCTTTACAACCACATAAAACCGGAGACGTTTCAGACGCGCGCTCCACTTTACTTCAGCGCCAGGCGCCAGTCAAATGAGCGCGGAAAATGTACTGTGCTCGCAGCACGTGCTCTTCAACTGCACTCACAAAAGGTGCCGGCGCACTGTAGACTGTATCCTTTCATATCAAAGCACGAAATAAACTATGTGCATGCAATGTCTTGGTCAGTTAAGTCATGAAGTTGCCAAAAAGGCGATTAAAGCTGCCTTAAAACTGTGCATGCATGT